ACTACCAACATCTAAAACTCAATTTTCAGTTGAAGTTTCAATTTCTTTAATATCTAATGACAGAGTTATCGATATTTTTGGTAATAGTTTTTCCTGTACAGATGTTGAAAAATTTTCACGACGTTCAATTCTCTGCTCAAGTAACGAAGATGTTCGGTTAATTAATGAACATATATGATAAATTTTTAAAATGTTGAACAAATAAGTTTTTGCGTGATAGACTATGTAAAAAAAATGACGATGTAGACGATCATGATTTACAAGTCAATATTCTGGTAGAATTTCTAAATACTTTGAATCCATCTGGATTATCACTATATAAATTAAATTTAAAAATAAGTTGTATAGTAATACTTTTGAGAAATCTATTGGTAGACAAAGGATTATACAATGGGACTAGAATAATTGTTAGAGCCTTTCGTCAAAAAGTACTTCATTTGAAAATTATCACTGGTACATTTTCTGGAACTATTCATTGCATTCCTAGAATTTCTCTAGATACATCGAATGATCCAGCACTTCCATTCAATTTCATTAGACATCAGTATCCAGTTCGTCTTGCATCTGCAATGACAATAAATAAGTCTCAAGATCATACTTTTGATAAAGTTAGTCTCTCTCTTCCAGAACCCTGCTTTTCTCATAGTTAGTTTTATACAGAACGTTCAAGAACAACAGAATCTAATTGTTTAAAAGTTCAAGTAAAAGATACCACTAGACAGGACAAAATGAATAATGGACAAACTGTAACAGACAATGTTGTTTATCGAGAAATCTTTTCATAATTTCCATATGTTTGTTTTTGTGAGTTTATAAGTTTAGTAATTTATTTTTTATATTTAATAAAGCAAATGCTAATCCAAACTTTTTATTAAATCAATTTTTTCTAAAATCTTAAAGTTCGACTCTTCACAGAGGCTTCTAGTTGATGTTATAAAGAACGACGAGAGAAGAAAAAGACAGCTAAACAAAGTTTTTTTTGACTAATCTAATGTATATTTATGATAGATAGATGTTTTATGAGAACATGACTAATGTCAGGTTACGATACAGGATCGTTTCGAATTCAAATTCGCTAAGGATAGGATTTTTATTGAATAACAATAAAATGAAAGATTTTTCAGATTTTAGTGTTATTGAGAACTTTAATTTAGATAAATCTTTGACTTACTTTTTTCTATGATAATTATTCTAAGATAATAAAGAAATCAGAAATACTTAAACTATTTTTTTTTCTTCTAGTTTTTTATATATAAGTGTTTAACTGATCAGACAAAGATTTTTTATTTACATGATCATCGATCTAATGTCACAATTGCCATCTGATGCCGTTAAATAAAAATCAAGGTCGAATGATAACATAGTATCAGTGATAGCAATCGCATATTCTCCAACAGCTGTGAATAATAAGGCACAAAAAACCAATTCACAACATAAAGTTTAGTCATTACGAAAAAAATTAAACACAGATATTAATAGTAGAAGACGAAACTAGTTTTTTTTAGCTGCAGTTTTTACTTCGTTTCAATTTGTATAAATAAACATATTTTTAAACTTCTAAAATTTGCTCATGTGAACTATACAATTTCTTTTATTCTTGTAGTTCGTTTTTTTGTTGTACCATTTTTGATGGAAACTAAACTTACACTATATGTACAGACAGATATTTCTCAGTATTAAAAAAATACTAGACAGCAAGATATTGACTGAAGATCTTGAAAATCTTGATTATCAGTATCCAAGATATAATTATCTGTATCACAGATCAGTAAAAAAAGATCATAAAAGACAAGATATCAAACTAAAGATATTGAACATCTGTTACCAAGACCTTTCAAATCTGTACCTAAGATCAAGGTAGTTATATTCAAAGTGTATTACTCTTCACCTGTGATTTACAAATAGAACGATATTTATTGATGAATACATTTTCTAATAGAATCATAATTTTTTTTCTGCTGAATTATCCGGTTCGACTAGTTTAGCTTCAGAGTAGTAACGACTATTACTAAATAATCTACACGATGATCAAATATGCTTGAATCACCAGATCAATGCACTTAGAATGAAACTTATTTTGAAAAGTTGATATTAAAAGCATATGAAATTTATCATTGATATAGAGTATTTATGATATTAAATTCTTTTGATCAACTAAAATTCGTTAATTGGTCTTAACAACATTTCATATTTATATTGTTCCAAAGTATAATCTGTTGTGCTCATGTAGTATAGCGCCATCTTTTTCATGAAAATTATTTTTTCTAAAAATAAAATATATCGGTGAATATATCGTCTAATATAGTAGATTTCTATTATAATTTCTTCTTTTTGATGTTTCCATCAAATCCAGATGTCATCTCTACCAAGTGAATTCCCTATTGATTTGTTTTTCTCGATACTTTTTATTATCTCAGTGAATTACATGCGATCATCATTTGTCTTTTTAATTCATTGAACAAATATGTCATCGACAAATATTCATTCAACACTTGATTTTATGTCATCTTCAACAGTTCTTTCACCAATTTTACCAAGTTTATCTGAATTACTTGCACAAGAACGTTTGACTAATTTAATTCGTCCTTGTCTTCAACAAATTTTTAAAATTTTACAAAAATTTCATCCATTATCTAATTTACTTAAAATACTTTATCAATATAAAGATGAATTTATATTACTTATTGAAAGTATTCTACAATGGTTCTATCTTCATTTCTATTCAGCTCTTATTGGTGAACATTTATTTGGATTAAAACGAACAGCAGATCATCGATTACGTTCTATTATTTTTTCAGTTTTTTTACCTTATATTAAATTAAAACTTAATTCATTCTATGAACAAATGCGTACAAATAATACTAATCGTCATATCATATACTATATGATTCTGCAAATTTTACCTAAAATTCAAGTAAATTCTTAACTGAGAATCAATAACATATTTTCTTTTTTGTTTTTTTGATAAAGATTTTCATTGATGGTCTTAGTTGGCTCTATCGTTTGAGTTATGCATTTGGTTTAACTAAATATTATAGTCCAAATCTTCATTTAGCAAATGTTAAATTAACTTATGCCAAAGATCCATCACCAACTATTCCATCATTATCAAATACTACTCGATTTTTATCAATAATTAGTCAAATTATTTCAAATGGTCTATTTGTTATTCAATTAATCGATTGGTGGAATAATTCAAAACAAAACTCTATCAATCATATTACCAATCTATCATTATCTTTTAATGATCGAAAACGATCTAGAATTGATGGTAAATATCAATGTCCACTTTGTCAACAACCATGTAATATACCAACGGTAATACTTGGTTCAAGTTATGTTTATTGTTATGCATGTATTAATGATTATGTTCAACGATATCATCGATGTCCAACATCAAATAAACCAATAACAAATGAACATTTAGTTAAAATTTATTAAAAAAAAAAAAGTTATATTTCTCATAGATGTTTTATGTAGGATTGTTTTTTCTATATATATAAAATTTTTTTTTTTATTATTATTCTATTCTTGTCATTGATTAGATATGAAACAATTGGTTGTTTCATTTCGTTTCTATGTTTGTCTACTATTTTATAAAAGGCTTCAGTTTCAATATAGAATCATTATAATGCAGAAAGTTTGTGAGAAATGATTCTCAATGATTTCTAATTATAAAAATAAAAAACGAAAGAAAGAAGTTATTTGTTCTCTTGTTTTTGATCGAATATTATAAAAAAAATAAAAAATTGATCTGTTAGTTACCTGCAAACAAGAAAGAAACAAACTAAAAAGTTAATATTTGCATGTTATAATAATCACTGATCATTTTTCATTTCTATTTATTCAAATTATCATTTGCCAGTATAAAGTAGGTCACTTAGTAGTAGTAGTCAATAAAAAAAAAGTTTTCTTTTTTTGTATGTGTATTTAAACAGAAAAAAGTAAAAAATAAAACTTTGAACATCGTCTTCTGGGTCGAAAACAATCAATAGATTTATTTATCTTCATCAACAAAATAATATGAGTACCGTCCGTATAAATCGCATTCAATCGGCTTATCATCGACCGGCTCGTCAACGTACTACGAATGTTCAAGTTTCTCATATTAAACAACATCCTATTACGAATATGAATACAGGTGAATCTGAAATTAATGTACCTGCATGGAGAATCTTAGATCCATCAATTTCTTCAAGACCGTTAAGTAGTTGGCAACGACCAAAAACTACTAGTATAAGTACAATAACAAGTACACATATTTCAACAGAAAGTTTTCATTCAAATGAAATAGAACGTCTTTTACGATGTCTCGATCATGATGATAAACGTATTGTTCAAGTTGATTGTTTAGCTGATTATAGAAAACTTGTACAAACAATTAATTTACGAAATACACCTCTTGATGGTAAATCATTATGTACTTTACAACAACGTGAAAATCGTATTGTACAACGAAATGCTTGTCGTGATAAACGTTTTCGTTTATTATTGGATACACTTGCACCATCACATGTAATTGGAATTGAAGAAAATAATTTCGATGATACTAATCAAAATAAGATTTCAGAATATCAATCGAATGACTATCCTATATAATATAAGCAAAATAAAATCTTTGATAAATATGTGAAAATATAGGATAAACTTTGTGTTGTTGTTTGAAATGTTTTTTTCTTTTTTACCAAAAATACGAAATTTATAATGTTCTCAATAATTATTGTTGATTTTAAAGTGATTAAGATGACGATGCTTTTTTGTTTTAAAAATAACTGACGAATAAAATTTTTAGATAAACAATTCTGCAGTGTATTAATACGATTGAAATTTTCTTTTGTATAATTGGAAGATTGTATATTATTATTAGGACAAAGATAAATCTATATTAATTCTTATATTTTGTTTCATGATAGCAAAGTATCAAGTTGTTTTACTAGAAGATATGATATATATATATATTCTCTATCATACCTAAAATTTCTTTCGTACAACAGAATCAATCTATAAGTACATTAAGATTTCAAAATCATGATGCAATACTTTATACGTATTTTTCTTTAGGTCAAAGAATGTTGTGTTCTACGTACTATTGTCAATAAACAGACGACGAAGTAAAGATTTATTCGTCTACAGTGTATTATTGTAAAAAACAGAAAATCGGAAAATGGAATTGTTTGTTTTCTTTTGTTCGTCGTGATAAGAAAAACAAACCATGAATGCATACATGTCACATTAAAAAGTTGAGGAATGACAATTACAAGGGTTTGTCTAATCAAAAGTAGATCTCTTTCTCTCACAAAGAAAAAGAAATATTATTACTAAAATTTAGAACTTTGAGAAGTTTTTTTGTTTCAAACGCGACTGATATATTTCATGGTTGTATTTGATTATTACGTATTAAATAATATATCAATAAATAAAGTATTGATTTGAACTAAATAGAAGATACTATTGTTGACTCTTCTCATTGTCACTCAAATTAGAAAAGAAATCAATAACATTGATTATTTCAAGGAAATAATACAAATATCGAAAAACTACTTACACTACACTCTACCTCTTTGTCTTTTCATTACTAATGATCAGAACAACTTAGTCGAAACAAAATAGGTTGTTTGCAGTATGTAAACTATTTTGGACTAGTCTTGACGAGCACATAACTAGTCATGATAGGTATAGAAGACGTTTTAGACAAGGCCTGACGGATATTGTAGACATTTTGGATTAGTCATGTCGCTCGTCTTCACTCATTTTTTTGCTTACTTGGATGTATATATGTGATTAAAATTTCAGCTTTTTACCACCTCAAGAAACAGTATGAAAAATGTCACCGTCAATTTATCCTCAGTTATTATGGGATATTCTTTATATCGGCTTCGATTCAAGTTTAATTGACATTTCCAGTATATTATATCTCTAAATAGATCTAAACAATATCATAAGTATTTGTTTAGTGCATTATGTCACTAATGAGGGAACATTCCCATGTGTCTTGGTTTGATTTCGTTCGATAGAAGACCTGGAGTAAGTAAAAAGCCTAAAAGGGTTCCGGCCGACGGCTTTTTCTTCGGAAATTACGATCACTTTCTTGATTTTCTCAGCGAAAACGAACATAAAAAGAAAAATTCATAACTCCATCAAGAAATCTCATAGAGAGCCGAAATTTGTTTTGACAGTAGTCTTAAGAGTCCTCTATATACTCTGAAAGTTTCACAATTCTATCCCTCTCTTTTCCCGAATTATAGGAATCACCAAAACAAATTTCGGCTCTCTATGAGTTTCCTTGATGGAGTTATGAATTTTTCTTTTTTTTGCCAGTTTTCGTTGGGAAAATCAAAAAACTGGTTGAAACTCTCGAAGAAAAATCCGTCAGCTGGAACTCTTTTAGACTTTTTTTTACCTACTCGAGGTCCTCTATTGAACAAAATCGGAGTAAGACACCTTGGGTTGTTTCTTCGTAAGAAAGATTGTCAGTATTTATCAAAAATAATAAAAACTATGTAGCTTTTTTTGATTCTTCTTTGGACATTGAAAATATTATGAAATAAATCTTGACAATTTCGATCAGTCGAAAACATAATCGAACTGAAAGATTTTTTATCGTTCAATACTGTTGATCAGTTGTTTCTCTTTCATATCTTTATTTCAGTCCTTTACTTTTATAACTATATCCATTCAATTAATGATCTTCTTATGTATTTACCTTTTTGGTTATATTCTATAATTATACTTATCCATTGTAGGAAATGTATCATCAAAACCAAAATGAAAGTAGTCCGTCAAATCATGATCATTTGAATGCTCAGTTTTCTTCTTAAAAACGCTAACTAGTAAAATATTTCCAATTAGTAACTCCTGTGTGTGTGTGTATGTATTTCTCTGTGAAAAGCTTATCGATTTGTTAACTTATATATTTCATTTGTTGACTTGCTTATCTTCCATTGCTGTCATGACTTGCCTGTTGACTATTTTTTCATGCGTAAGTTGTTTTTTTTTTGCGTATATAATTAATTTCACATATATTCATTGAATAAATACGATGAGCAACATGTTACATATCTCAAACAATCGAATGACTTGATCATCATCAATAAATACAATTAACAGTTGTGACTCGATAATTTAGTCTCATCGTTTAGTCCCGTAGATTTATTTATACATTAATCGAGAGAAAAACTGTGACGACATAGAGAATTAGCAAGTAAATATCAAGAAACAGCTCCACCGATACTATATGACAATACAGTTCAACAATCAAAGCTAAAAAATAAGAATTTTGTATATAGAATAAATTATTTTCTGTAAAAAAAAAAAGAACGAATCTGCAACATAAGAAATGTATTTATTAAACTGAATTGTTTGCAGATACTTAATTCTTGTTTGTAAATAGGAAATGATAATGCACCAGTTATGCTAAAATTTGTTTTGTGTTATATCTGTAGTCGCAAATATGAATCGCAGTTGTTTGAAATACATCAGGAGCAATGTTTAGCAAAAGTGATATATTGAGAATATTAAATTACCCATAAATTTACATCGATCTGCACCACGTAAACCAACTATACATACTTCCAGTAAGTTATATTTTCATTTCTTTTACATGAATAATCCATTGAAACGAAATTATCTCAAAATGATGAAGATAGATTTCTCGATAAGGTTAATACCGACATTTTATGAAGTATCGAAATCATAATTCTCCACATTGTGATCATTGTAGACGTAATTATTCATCTAATCATATTCATTTATATCATCAAGTTTGCAATGCTAATCATATAAAGGTAGATTTGCATTAGATTACTTCTTAATTCAAATACTATACATCTACTATTTTATATTATATAGTTTTATGTAGAACTCGATAAAAATGAATAATCGTGAAAACACTCTTAAAAAAAATAGAGTGCCTTAACTTTCGATAGAACAAACGATGATCTCATAATTGATCTATTCGTTTTCGTACTTGCTCTTAGAGCAATGATCATCAAGGTCTTGTTGAATGTCAATGAGATCTATAAATCTAAAATAAATACTCTCGTCTTTCTACTTAATCATCAATTTAACTTCTAATAAAAATCTTTTATTGATGTCGATACACGAAGGCAATTATTTGTCGAACAGCTATAAAAGTGAGAATAAAAAAATCCTTGTTTTTTTTTATATGCATAGACTTTGTAAAGAAGTCAATGTCAGTAGACTCAATTTCTTTCTATACGAAAAGAATAAGATTCGAATCCATCTATCAACGCCATCTTTTCTACTGACTTTCGACAAGAATACTGTCAAAACCAAGAAGAAAAAAATATGCCAGTAGTGGCGATTAATCATTAATCGAGTACAAGAAAACAAGAAAAAAAAAAGATTTCTACAAAAACAATTTATTATTCTTTCAAAATACATACAATCTACTCTATGCATTCCGATTGTTTATTTATAACAATAATAATAATAATATTCTATGAAAATTATTCTTGTGTACATAATTGATTATGTTCACTTAAGTATTATTCATTAGAATAGAATTAAAATGTAAGAATGATCTTATTATTATCATCCTTGAATTCTACTAAATTATTAATTATATATTATCTATAAGTAATTAATCATTTTTCTTATGAGAATTGGCATAGAAATATTTTTTTTCTTCAATTTTTAGGTATACACAAAAACAATTATCTTATTACTCTTTTTCTTTATCAAGTATTCGAAAAGAAGTTTATTTCTCATGTCAAATACAATATTATCTTGAGCAATTATTGTCGGCATCAGAATTAAATGTGAGTGGGGGGGAATATAAAATGAATATCTTGAGAATGGCAATAGTTAGCACGATCTGCAGTTTTCACTAATCGAAAGAAGATGAGTTAGGATATGTTTTGATATAATATTAGTTCCTCTATCTAATACACATGTTAAAATGAAAATTTCATTGGAATTACTATTGCATTATAATACATTTTTTGGAAAGATTGGTTAGCTAATGATTTCATCTTGCATAATATTATATCAAAATATGTTCTAACTCAATCTCTTTTGATTGGTGAAAACTACAGATCGTGCTAGCTATTGCTATTCTCGAGATATTCATCTTACATCCACTCACATTTAATTCTGGCGCTGACAATAGATTTTGTATTTATATTAATAGATAACTTGATAAGAATCGGTTTTTTTGTTGCCTATGAATGACTACATTTTTTTTCTTCATATAAAAATAATGAATATTAAAAGAATCATTTGTTTATAAAGATCGTTGGTTTCAAATGATAAAAACTTCGGCATTAATATAACTTGTTCGAGTTAGTATTTTTTGTCCAATTTAAGATAGAAATCCTTTCTAATTCCATTATTCTCTTTGAAAACTTCATATATTTGTGAAATTTTTTTTTTCTATTCTTAATTAATATCATCCAAGATTTCATGTCACGAGATCAAATTTCAGTGTCTAATTAGTGCATATATATCGTAGAATAATGACATAATAAAGGTAAAATCTATGTTTTTTTTTCGAGCAAACTTTACATAGTTATATGAAATATTGAAAGTGACAAATCTAATATGAGGGTATATATCCCCGACTGTTGAGTACTGTTTGACTTCATATTATGACTACGAGTAGGTCTTGGTGACACTAAGAGAAAAGATTAAATGTGTTCAAGGGCATGACCTACTTATAACATAGTTATGAGCAAGACATTGTAAACGATTCAAAACAAAAATTTTGTCAGCAAGCAGATTTTATAATTATTAGATAATCCTAAATTTCAATGAAAATAAATATATCTTTCCCGAGATACTCAATTTCCAAAAAAAAAACAAAGCAACGAATTCCTATAGGAGAACACAATAATTAAATCATCTTGTAAATTAAATATCTCGTGAAAGATATGTTCACTTTTGTGGAAACTCTCACGACTATCAAACATTCCTATTGGCGAAATTTTAATTCGAAACTTTTTATTTTTTTTTGATTCTTCGCTAATGCCTTACTCACAATTAAAATAATCATAACAGTAGGCTACGCATTCGAATCTTTTCAAGCTTTTCTTAACTTCATCGAGATCTATTCATCATTATAATATATGAAGTCGGACAGTTGAATATGTCCGGCATGTTAATGTTTATATCTATTTGTTGTAATTAAGAAATTAGAAAAAAAAACAGATCGTGCATTACATTCGAAAATAAATTTTATTCTTTTGCAGCATCTTATTTCTTATTAATAAAAAATATGCCCTAATCCTCGGATGGTTTTTGTAGATCCAGCTGGACCCACATAATACCATTTTTCGTTTTCCTGCTATGTTAATATGTATCCTTTTCTAATTCTCAGAGCTAAGCATAGAAAATGGTATGTTATAGCGTAGTAGGAAGTAAAAAATGCCATTATGTAGGTCCAACTGGATCCAAAAAAAGCCATCCGAAGGTTAATCGATATTTGTTATCTAGAATTTGTATATTCTATAAATGTCTGTTTTTTTTTCTAGATCAATAAACATAAAGAAATAGTTAAAATATTGTTTTCACAATCGCTTATCTCTTCAAATATAAAATTTTCTTTTTAATATTTTGCTATAAAATGAATTATACTATACTCTAGATACTCTTATATCTAATAGAGACAATGACAGAAAAAGAAATTGAAATTTATTACAATACTGTTCTCGACATTGTATCTTTAGCAGGGAAAGTAAGTAGATTTACCATTTGTAAAGAGACGAAAAAACAAAATCATGTTTTTTTTCTTTCTTTCATTTGTTATAATGAGAATATATATATATATCAATTGAAAATTACGCTTCACTGATTTTTTTTTTCGTCATGTGCAGAAAAAAAAAACAAAAAAATATGTAAACATATTTTCTTTATATGTATATATCATAGGTTGTAAATGCAGGCTTTTCAGCAGCAAAACGTATTGAAACAAAAGCTAGTGCAGCTGATCTTGTTACAGAATTTGATCAACGTGTAGAAGAAATCTTAATAAAACATTTACAAGAAAAATTTCCAACACATAAGTAAATAGAAATTAATTAAATATATAATATATATAAGAATTTATATTTAATGAAAATTTTAGATTTATTGGAGAAGAATCATCTTCTGCTGGAGTTCAAACAGTATTTGGAGATGATCCAACATGGATTATTGATCCAATTGATGGTACAACAAATTTTGTACATGGGTAAACAAAAATGAAATATTTAAATAATAATTTTATTATTGAAAAATATTAGTTTTCCATTTGTCGCTATATCTATTGCACTTGCAATAAATAAACAAGTAGTAATTGGTGTTATTTATAACCCAGTTTTGGATCTACTTTATACAGCTATACATGGCAAAGGTGCATATAGAAATGGACGACCTATCAAATCTTCAGGACAAACTGGTAATTAAAAACTGAAATAATATATGAATAAAAACTATTACATTGAATTATTTCATGATATAGGAATCCTTTTGTTTTTGTTTTTTGTTAGTGAAGTAATAACAAAAGTTTTCTAGTCGCTTCTTGAGTTGAGACTATATGCATTATGCAAATCCAAATGAACTATGAAAAAAATTCGTGTCCTATGTTTCTTCCTACGGAGATAATGTACTTTTACAATATTTTGTGAAATATGATCTAAAAAGCAAAGTGTTGAAGTATATAGATATATAATTTGTTAAATACGTAAGTTGATGTGCACAATACTGTTCAGAATTTTTCATAAAGTGTTTTTGTGATGAAATATCCTTCAATGATTGATAGTTTCTCATTTGTTTGAAGAGAAAAATTTAGTTAATTAGATTCTTAGGAAAATCTTATTATTATAACGATTATTTCGTAATAGATAGAAAAAAAAAGCAATCAGAAAATAGAATAATTCCTTTTTTTTTTCAAGTATTAAATTAGTTATGGCTTTCTACTACTTTTGAATCTTTATATGTGCTGGAAATGATAAGACTATAACTCATTTAATACTTGAGAAACAAAAGGAATTATTTTCAAATCAGAAGCAGTGTTTCATTGCAAACAATTCTTAAGATATGCATCAAAATGTATTATAAATAGTGCACTCAAAAAAAAATTTTCATTATCTACATCTCATTACAAACTATAAATATAGGATAGAGTCTGAGAGGTACTTTTTTTTTCCTTTTTATACAGTATTTTCTGACAGTAGTTATATTTGGATCGACCTTTGATCCTAAGATATTGCGGAGATATTTAAAAAAAACTAGTGCATTCTCGATAATACATTTTAGTTCATATCTCAAGGATGGCTTGAATATGCGTGACATTTTGTTGAAAAGAACTTTTTCACAGCTAAAAAGGTAACATCTTTCTATCGATTTTCGTATGGATATTGGTAAAATACATTATAAAATCACATGATCTAATATATGAAGGATAACAAAAAATGTGATTTATTTTTCTACATACTTACCTGGGATGAAGTATACAAAACCTGTATACACTCAGTTTTTCACTGTTATACGATCATATTTTTGCATATTACATTGTTCCGTATTGTTTATAGAGAAATATGATCGTGCTTGTTTGATCTAGATGGACAAACAGCATATGCTCTAAGTGGGAAAATTAGAATTTCAAAAACAATGAAAATCTAGGAAATAAAGAGTTATATTCATCTATATATAAACCTCATGTAAATACAAGCTCAAAGTTTCTCTAAAGCAAACTCTTGTTTAAGTTCATAAAAAAACCTTGATATTTTGATTGATCTAGATCAGTAATACACTTTATATTTTGTAAATGAGTTTTTGAAAATAAATTTCGTGCTAAGTGTATTAATAAATAGACGACAACACAGTTAAATATGTTTTTATTTTTACATAGGCAGGCAGGTCTTAACAAGAATCTTTTTTTTTTGTGAATGTTTCAGGTCTTGTCACTGTTCCCTATCCTAAAATATAATTATGGTCAATAAGGTGTCTGTGACATCACTTATATAAACTAGCAAATTCGATGTTCCGATTTCAGGATAGAAGTAAATAAAAATCTTCTCTAGTTATGATAGAAACAATATTTGAATATAATTTATAGAAAATTCTAATAATATTTTTTCTACGATATTGATCGCACTGTATTTATATATCAAATAAAAATTTATGTTTTGTATATTCTTATAGATTTAGCATTGTCTCAGGTAGCAGGTGAATATGGTTCAAGTCGAGAACCTGAAGTATTAACAGCTAAATGTCAAAATTTACGAGTTATTATTGAAAAAGTTCATAGGTATTAAATCAATTTCAAAAAAAATATATATCAATATAAATTTGAAATTTATTTATTTGTTTGTGTTTTTTTTTCTTTAGTATTCGAGCTATTGGTAGTGCAGCTATGAATTTATGTTTAGTAGCTGAAGGAAGTTGCGATGCTTATTTTGAATATGGAATTCATATTTGGGATTATGGTAAGAAGAAAATTTTAGAATTTTGTTTTTCTTTTTAAAAAGAAAAAATATATTTTTTGTTTTAATAGCTGCTGGTGATTTAATTGCTCGAGAAGCTGGCGCATATACATGTGATCCATCAGGTAAAAATATAAATTTTCATAAGATTTAAATAGAATTTATTTTCTTTTCTTATTAGGTGGTCCATTGAATCTTCTTCATCGTTGTATTTTATGTACAGCAACAAAAAAACTTGCTGAACAAATTTCTCCATTACTTACTCATGTTAATTTTCCAGATGATTAGTCTGATTTTAACATAATATTAAATATTTAGCAGAAAAAAAATATTTCATTTTTAATCTAAAAAATAAAATATGTATTATTTTAGATGATGAAACAATATCTTCTTCTTGTTATTATTAGTGTCGCCGCTCTCTTTAGCTCAGTTAATACTGAAGACAATTGTACACAACAATCAAATCAAGGTTGTTCAGCATGTGTGAATGTACATGGTTGTGCTTATTGTACGACTACCAAAGTTTGTTCTACCTATCGTTTTGAAAACACATTCGATCGATCATGTGACATATCTGATATGAAATATCAAACATGTGTTGGTAGGTTTAAAATGACTTTTTTTTTCTCTCTCGGTGAATTAGCCGATATTTGGATCATTGATAGTATTCATTCTGTTCTCTTTTCATTTGATAAACATATATGATGAGATGTTCGAAAGTATTTGTGGATTTCAATGGCATATGATTGGATATTATTGTAGGTTGAGACAAAAAATTCATTTCATTTATTTTTGAACTTTAAAATCTACGTAGAACTTGAGAATAAATAGATATTTATTTTTAATCTTAGGTTCTTTTCGAACTTGGATTATTGTTATTTCTGTTCTTGCCGGTGTTCTTGTACTTGCTATAATTATTACTATTTGTTGTGTATGTCACAAATGTAAACGTCGTTCTATTCGAAAGTAAGGTTAAGATTTAATTATTTTTAAAATTTTATTGTGGATTTCTATATTGTTTTTTTCTTTTTTTTTTGTAGAGAACAAAGTAGACAACAACGTGACGATCAAAGAATGGCAGAACGAACACAACAACAACAAACTGCAGCTGAAGCTCGGTAAGTTTTAATATAAATATTTCAATGATATCATAATTTGTTTTTTTTTCTTCAGAACGGCTGAACGAGCTCGAGTAGCCGATAATATCCGTATGAAATATGGTAAATATTTATATATTCATTTTGAGCAATTAATAGGTTCTTTTTTTTTTCCTTATAGGTATGCTTAAAGACAAAGATAATGCTACGGATTATTCACGTATGCCATAAGTTATATTTGAAATCATCGAAAAAACAAAGAATTTTTTTAAAATTTAATATATGCTTCTACTAATATATGCGCAATACTCAGTATTTTCTCACTTAATATACGACTCTGAAGAGTAAATCTTGTTCTAACTTCTCAGTTTTTTTTCATGTTCTTTTTCCATATAAATTACTAGCCTGCAACGAAAGCAATTTCTATGTGATTTTATTTCATTCCACTTTTACTTCCATCCTATTAATTATATTTCATTTTCGCTAATTCTACTTCTTTTTTTTTTGTTTTGTTCTTGATCTGAGTTTATTTATTAAGCTAAAAAATATTAATAAAACTAATCTTGAATCTTTTTTTTTTTGTTTTTGAAATAAAAATTTCTTTTCTAAAGATGATATCACCTTCATTTCATCTCCTTATAAAACACTGTTGTCATAATCAATGGCGTTCATTATTATTTCGTACAATTATCGTAATTAATCAACGACAATTATCAACAATAGAGAATGAGAAAAGAGATTCTCAAAAACAAGAAAAAGAAATTTTTGTACAATCTCAAAATTATCAAATTCAAATAAATACATTTACACAAAAAGGTATATCAAATTTTTAATATAAAATATTCTTTATTCATATTAGATTTATTTATTACAGCACAAAAAATTGTTAAAGATACTATTTATTCACTTGTTATCATAACTGGTGTAGTTACATTAGGTGGAGTATGTTATCTAATGCTACATGAACTCTATTCAAGAGAAACACCTCATGGTATTTATAAAGAAGCATCAAAGATTTGCTTAGAAAACACTGATGTGAGTTCATAATTAGGAAAAAAACAATATATATATATATATATATATGTACAATATTATTTCAAATAGGTACAAGAAGCATTAGGTATACCAATTATAGTACATACAACACCTCAAATTAGCTCCATGCGAGTCAATAACGTTCGGTAATATTTAGAAATAAAAAATAATTCCATTCAATTTCTATTTGTTAAACAAGATTATTGATACGTGTGATGTACCATAGTGAAATATCCTTTCACTTGATATCATAGAGATATAGACTAGAGCTTCGTGTGAGATGAAAGAATTCCATCTCATTTCCAGTGTTTGACTCAGGTTACGAAAAAATTTTGACCTTTCGGGATGAATCTGCAGTCTGAATATTTTGCAGATACAAAAGGCATCTTCAATGTTTTTCTTCATTTAAAAGCTCTATAAGAGAGCGTGAAAATTATTACTATATATTAAGGAGATCCTCTCCCCTTTCCCGATTCCAAATTTTCACATTTTTTGTGATTAGTATCTAGATTTAAATGCCCTCAATCCATTGAGCACACTTTGAGAACTGTAAATCCACATCTTATATATAAAAAAACTCGAAAAAAATTACAAAATATGCTGAAAAAACCAAAAAACACAAACTTCTTCGAGTTTTTCTGAAAATCAGTTTTTTCAGCAAAAAAATAAAGTTTTCCCTCATTTTCTCTCCTCGCACTCCAACCAATCGAGCTCAAATTTTTATTGTGAATACTTTGAACAAATTGGGGTGTGTCGTTTTTTTTCTCTCGAAAATATTCTTCCTAAGGAATTTTACTATGGACCACAAAATTCGCAGTATAAGAAAAAAACGATTTTTTGATAGTGCCGTCAGTAATTTGGTTCTCCTGACCCTCAGGAACGATATTTTCTAAAGAAAAAAAAAGGCACACTTCAATTTGTTCCTAGTTTCTGCAGAAAAAAATCTCAGCCCTAAACAATGAAGTATAAGAGTTTGCGGGGGAAAACTTCACGTTATTTTTCGCCCTTGGGTTGCAAATATCTCTTGGAAGGAAGCATTTTCGAATTCTGAGTCTATGACAACTTTTGCTCTACTCATCGAGATCTATCTACCCCGAAAGTTTCACCCAGCTGTTCTCGAAAAACCTCGGAAAGGGGGAGGGGGTGTTCCCTTAAGAGAAGATTTCCTGAAGGTTTCTATTCAGAAATAAAGCACTTCTACTATAACTTTTGGATTGTTCTCACGTCAGTGGTATAATTAATCAAACGGATAAATTTTACTCTATTCTTTTTGAAAAATGATGTGTCATAGGACAGGACGCGCAGTTTTTAGAAGTATCCCATCCTATAGGACAACAAATTTTTGAAGCTTATCTCATCCCATGGAAGAAGTCATAGCAGGACCGTTTCTTTTTTGTTATATCCTGTTCCCTACGTCGAGTCCTAATACAAACAGGCAGAAATGAATAATTAAAAGCTAATGTCTTATAATAGAATCTTTAAGTAATCCATACTGCGAAAATCTTGACACGAAATATTTCGATCACTATAAGACAATTGGTTAGCGTTAGTAAGAAACAACATTTTTTACTATTTCCGAATATGATGTTTAAAATTTCTTTCTAAATTAAGATTGTAAATTTTATAAAAAATTTAAAATTGTGTTTGAGAATAACTTCAAGTCAACATTATTGTAGATCACGAAACTCTGTACAGAATGAAATATTACAATAAGTGAAATCTCATGTATGTGTTTCCACTAAAAAAAATCTATTTTCCATGGAAATCAGCATTAGTAAAAAAGAAATTTATCCTAGAAAAAAATTCTCAACATATGTTCGAAAATAGTGAAAACTTCTATTCCTAATCTACTGCTTCTAGCTCTAAACAGTTGCCTGTAAGCAACTAAAAAATAAGTGAATATTTTGTGGCAAGATTTTCGCATTATAGGTTAGACAGAATAGATAGTACACAGTCTTCAAGGTACTTGTATTCTAGTTTTGGATATCTTCAAACATAGCATGATACGTTCAATTTATCTCAGAGATTACTATGGATATTACTTTTTTTAATTTACTATTACGTTCTCTTCGCAGACTCGAACAAACATTCGATCAATTATTACTTTCGGCAGATTATGATATATTTCAATAAACAAATCTTTGTTCCCGACAGTGATATCATTCAAATTTTCTTGTTTAATATAAAAGTATCTTGACGTAATATAGAAAATATTTTTCTTTTTACTTAAAGTGCAAAAACATTTGCTGAAAAAGGACATCGAAGCATGACAGTTTCGTTTTATTTGACTGGTAAAGAACGATCCGGTGTTGCTGCTGTTAAAGTTGAAAAGGTATGTCATGAATTATTTTCTCTTACTCAAAGAATAATACTTAGGACATATCAAAAGTTCTGACCACGGCGTTTAAAGGATCTTTTCGGATAAGAGGACCTATTGAAAAATAAAAATATCAAATATTCGATGTTGTAGATCTTTTTGAGATGCATTGATTGGCATATAGGAAATTCTGTTTTCATAAGACTTTAAAGAAACTAGAATCAATTTACTGTTAGACGACTACACACCTATACCTACACTGACAAGATGATCGAAGATGCTATATATAGAAGGTTGTAATCCGTCAAAAACTCTACAAAATCGTATGTGAGAAAAAATATTTTACGAATACCAAGGACTACAGTATTCAGAAACTTATTATGCTTGGATGTGGATGTGTAGGTGTCTACCAGTGAATTGACTCTAGGTTCTTCAAAGTCCTATGAAAACAAGATTTCCTATATACCATTCGACGCATCTCAAAAAGCTCTACAATATCGGCTATTTGGTTTTTCATTTCTCAACAGGTCTTCTTACCCGAAAAGATCCTTTAAACGCCGTGGCCAGAACATTTGGTATACTCTAAGGATATATTATTATTATTATTTTAGAATATTTCAAATAAATTTGTCTATGATTATATTCTTGTTCAACTTGATCAACCATGGCATCATCAAAATATAATTCAAGTTTACCCAAATCTCAATCCATCATCCTCTACAACAAATATTTCATCCTAAACTGTAGAATTTTGAAAATAATTTGTGTGTGTATATATAAATTATTTTTAAAAAAAATCTATTATTATTTTTTTTATTCAAAACATGGTCGAACAGGCGTACTTATTGTTTTTATAACAGTTTGATTATCACGATCAATATTTTCAATTTGTATACCAATACGATTATTTAGTTTAGTTTTACCAGGTTGATATCGATGATCTATCATTGATGATGATGATGATGATGATGATGATTGACAACAATGTTTACGATATGTAAATATAATAATAGTAAAAAGAATAATTAATAATGTAAGTGCTATTAAAGCACATAATAAATAAAGAATTAAAGTTAATAACGTGTGACCTGACGATGAAGATGGATGTTCATCAGATAAATCATCTAATTTCCAATAAGGTATATTAAATAATGTTGTATTACTTTCATTTGAATATAATTTCGTAGTCCATGAAATCGATGTTGTCGTGATGATTTCTGTTGTATGAGGAATGTTACTCGTAGTATTTGAAATAGCTAGAAATATATATATAGAAAAAGTTTGTTACAGTCATTTCTTTTTCATTCATTAATCTGAACTCTATGTGATTTTGGCTATACATATTTGGAAGGAAATTAACCCTATCATCATTATTCAAAAACAACGCGAATCATTCGAACTAACGAAGAAACCTCGTAAGATCTTCATACAATTTTTTGCTTCCAAATGTTTACACAAGCATGATTTATATGATGATCAAATTTACTTACCAATAGGGCAATTTTCAATTAAAATATCATCAATACCAAACCAAACTAGAGGATTATTTTTCTTATTTGGTAAATGTCGAATTTCAATATCAATCTAAATAAGAAAGAAACTTTGTTATATATATATATATATTCTTTCTTTTTGTCTAATTTTATTTCATACTCGAAATTCTTCTGCTGCTTTAAATGTAACATTTACTTGTTGCCACATTAGATCATTATCTTCTAATGAATTATTTATATTAGGTTTACTCTTCCATTGACCTAGTGAAATCATACGTGTTCGATTTTTTTCAATAAGATAAATTTCAATAAGATCATTTTCATTTTGAATACTATATTGAAATGTTAATCGAATATCGAATGAACATAATGAAGATAATTGTAACCATGATGATATAATTGCATCAGTAAAACCAATTCGTTTATCTTCTTTACTTTCAGCATCAGCAACTAAAACTAGAAGAAATTTTATATTAGAAAAAAAAAAACAAAAAAACTTAAATAATACTTTTATCTCCATTATCTAGACTTGTAATATGCCATCGTCGACCAATACTCCAATTACAAGTACCAAAAGAAAAAGTACATAATTGATTATATTGTACAGAATATACAAATTTTATTATTAAAATGAATATCAAACCTAAGAAAATAGATTCATATGAAATCTAAAAAATAAAGATAAGTAAGTCTTACATATCTTCATCATCAATGTTAATCGAACAATCAATTATTTTTCTCTTCTGTCTTTTTAATGATTCAACAATTCAAATGAATGTATATGTACATAGACAAGTCGGTATGTTAGCAGTCATTATCAATTGTTTTTTTTATTTTTTTATTGACAAATGGATCATGTAATTAACCAATTGATGTTACAATGCAATGATAAGAAAAGAAATAGATTTGTTTCTTCTAAGCAACCATATCTTTTTTCTCTATTTGAACTTTTATTTGTTTTCAAATTATTGTATTACAAATAGTATAATGTTGATAATTGGTTTTTTTTTGAGATTTCAAGTATGACATGAAGAAATAGCACACACATATATCGTTTTTTTTTTCTATTGAATTATGCTTTGTTCTATCAACGTTGTGTTTGTGAAATTTGCTGTTGATATTGTTCTTCACTCGAATTCATCCTTCATGATTAAATCTAATTTAGTTCAACACGTTATAATTATTTTGTGAGAATACTGTAAAAACAAATGTGTAGAATAATAAGTCCTATAAGAAGATTTATTATTTTCATAATTTCTAAATCAAATTTGTCTATACTCTTTTAAAGTTTATGTTAATTTCATAAGCCTTTCAAGAGTTTAATTTGTTTTTCATTTTTAATCCTTGCATGGTTATAAAGACAATAAAATATTTAAATATTTATGAAAAGAAATAGAAAATCGTTGAAGAGTTGATGTAGGATTTATTATTCTACGCTGTTTTTTCATCGAAAGCATCTTCTCAACCTTGAAATTCAATATTGAGGTGATCGTTTATCCAAATAGCGTTTTTAAATAATATGAGTTGTTCCGTCGAGTTAGGAAAAGCCTTTAGATTAATACGAATGTGTATTATTAGTAGCATTGTATAATGATTACAATGGAACAACGATAAAGTATTAATCTCTGGTGAAAACTAGACTACAAATTGTAATCAAACTTATAAAAACTCGAATCTAGAAAGAGGTCATAATTCCAAAAAAAAAAACGAAAAGTCGGGAAGCATTTTAGAATAAATATCAAAATTCAAAAGTTTCCCTGAGTAGTTCAGATGATCTGACAGCATGGAATATGAGATCGAATTGAATTTTGATTTATTTCTAAAAATTAGTTTGTATTTAATTAAAATACATTATAACGGCAATCATCATTGTCAAAAATTAAAAAAATGACGGTTGGCTTGTTATTTGACCTATTTAATAATTCCCTCGACTGAAGGGAGGGTCATACGAAAAAAACTAAAATGCGTTTGTCTGTTTGTTTGTAGACAGGATCAAAGGTCCAAAAAACCTCAGAGATGAAGTTTATTTAGGCGTAGTTTCTAAAGTTCCAGTAAAGGTAATTGAGGTCGGGAAATCCGGATTTTATATCCGACCTTCCCATTGACTGGAAAGTCGATCAATCAGAAATCTGAAGTCGGATTTCACATCTGGCCTTCCTTAGAGTGGGTGTGGGTATAGGTGTGAGCGTCACTTTCAGGGATGTCTCAAATACTTACACCTACAGCTACACCCACCTTTAGACCATTCTGACAGAATCTCATTGTACTCAAACATATTGTTTGATTGTTGTTGTTTGCTTATTTGGTTTTTTTTCTCTTTTATTTTGTTCATCTCTTATTATAATCAGATTATTCACCAAAAAAGCAAATGTATCCCATCAAGTAATAAAGCAATTCCGCTTTTGTTTTGTATTTTCTTTTCCAAAAGTTGACTTAGATTTCTAATTTGAATACTAGTAGCTATGCATCTTCTCAAGTATAATCTTAATCTTCCTACTATAGGGTTTCATTCTATTTTCCTGCCGAACTTGGAGCGAATATTCTGCTGTCATTTTCTAGTTATGACAGTTTGTGTGTTCTCATGCGATAGCAGAAAATATATGAAACATGGAACTGAAAAGAAAAAGGAAATGTCTCGTAGTGAATTCCATAAATTATCAACTAATAAAAAATTGTTTATTTTAAATAAAATGTTTCCCGATTAATAGAGAAGATACATGATGGGAACGTATTCTATAATATATAGTGACGATCATCGTTACTATTGATATCAATACCATTCGAAAGTGTTAGAAAAGCTAGACAGATAAGAGATCTTTTTCATAGGCTACAAGTTGGATATAAAATTTGCTCTCTTCATACATAATAATAGAATAAGCAATTTTCTAAAAAAATGAGATGCCAGCAAGTTTTTGTCAAGTCATTCTTTTCATGATGGTCACTGACGTGACTAAACTGCCATCACCAACAAGAGTGTGCCTGATCGATATCGGTCCATATTCTTGATATATCAGAAATATCAATATTCTATTTCAATAATTGCTTTACCAGTGTCTCTTCTAGAGTTATCATATAAAGTGCAGGATTAATTAAAATTTTATCGACATTTGAAATATGTTTCATCCATCTACAAATAACTTTCTTTGTGAACTATTCTAAATTAGTATCTTGTGCAAAATATTCTTTACTGATACGCTTTTTTCTGTTATAAACATCAACAATTACTATTGAATTCAGATCAACACAGTATCATGAACCTTTATTAAAGACTTCGCACAGTTGATATTCTTGTCACAAAATGTAATAACGGAATTGGTCTATTGATTTATTGTACACGTATTTGATAAAAATATTTGTACTATTCGTTCTCATACGATATTAAAAAGAAAGAAAACTTAACATTGAAAATTATATCTTTTTTTCATTTCACAATTCTGTCTCTCTCTCTCTCTCAACAAATTCGAACTAAATAAAAGAACACGATTGTGTTTTATTAGTTTGTTTTTATATTTTGTTGACAGTTTTTTTTATACAGAAAAAATAGAGGATGTAACAATGAAAATATTTGATATCAGCATCTTTTCAACTTCTAAAAACAAATCCATTGTATTGTATGCTAGAAGAAAAATGTTCAAAGTCTTTTTGAAATTATTCCAATAGCCTTTATTCTATCGTTGAATAATATAAATGTATATTTATTCAGTCGACATACTTCCAAAAGAAATCCACAACCAATTTGATCTAACAAAGTTCAATTCAAATTTGCATAAAACTATGTTTGACAGTTGTATACGAGTCTAATTAGGTTTCATAACTTTCATGACACATAACTAAAGGATTTGTTTGGTTATCTTAGTTTGTAATGCATTCATCAGATGTTGTGTATGTCTCGAATGTTAATAGGATTCAATTCAAAGTAATATATGTTGCCTGTCATTAGTGTTTTATGTGAATGATGATGAATATGAGATACATACTTCAAGAATTGCTCTCACCGTGTTACGTTTTTATATATTTACTATACATGGTATTTTTTCTTAGTTGAAATACGAATATAGAAAATCTAAAGTGATCAATGCCTAATTGAAATCTCAAACGATATTTTTTCTTTTAAATTTTTATTTTCTATTAACAGATTCTACTGACATAGATAAGTAAATTCTGATGAGAATGTTTTAATAGAAATCTTAATTGTATATTTGTATGATCCCTTTTATAAATTTCTAAAAACTGTTTTGAAATTTTTGCTAATGTAAATATAAGAACTGTTTCATATGCATGTTGTACAAATATGAACTAATAAAATTATAGATAAATATTGATGAAATTTTAGTTATTCTAGATGATCAATCAAAACTTTGAATTAAAGTCAATTTTTGAAACGTTCATCGATAAATAGGCCATCATTTTTTCTCATGAATTGAAAGCGAATAATTTTTCTAGCTTCTTGTTTTTTACACGAGCAATATTGATGTAAAACAATTCTCTCAACACAAACACAATGTACTAGAGTGTATAAGAATTCAAAAGCACCATTTACATAGGATTTTCTACCACTATATAGGAAATATATAGAACACTGATTATCTCAAACAGACATGTTCGGAGTTCTAATGAACTCTATCAGAAGAAAGTAAGATTATTTATGAATAAAAAAGAGACAATAATAACTTATCTATCAAGACCAATTGAATCAAGTATTAATATATAATTAATTAGTTATAATATTAATTATGCATTAAATTATCCAAATATAAATTGGAAATCAATTCGTGTTAATTCATCAACACCATCATACATTTTAAAAGTCCTTTTGTTTTGTGCATCGATACAAAAACTAATCAAATTTTATTTTTCTAATTTTAGATGTAATGACATGAAAATCATATTTAATATCTATATTATCAGTCGTTAATAATGTTGGTGTATTGGCCTAGCAAGTGAAATAATTAAAGTTCGTACACTTGAAGGCACAGCAATACGTACACGAACAATTATTCAATTTGAACCAGTTAATTCTATAGCAATTATGATTAAATGGGAAGATTCATCTTTATCATGTATTAATGAAATTCTGAATTCATTTAAAGCGAGACAAATTTACAAACTAGATAAATTGAATAACTAAAGTTTTATTGTTTGGTTTTAGATTGAATTCATTGATCTATACAAGAAAAAGAGTGTTGTTTTCTGGTGTTATGATTATTTCAATGAATTTTCGAACCATTGCAGAATTTTAGTCTGAAATTTTACCTGAAGACAGATCTCAGTATCATTATTAAATGTTGGAAGTTTCAGCGAAAGCGAATGGTTTCTTCTTCTGAAGATATTGTTCTCTCAAAAGAAAAACTATGTTTTTTTGAATGGTTTGCAAGAAACTAATGATTTTGCATTTCTATATCTTAAAACAAAAACAGTCAATTCTGCAGGATATTATAAGAATTATGAGAACTATCTTAAAGTAGCATGTTAGACTGAAATTCTACGATTTATTTTTCCTCGTAACATCCAATAATAATCGAAAAATTCATTAAAATGATCATAATTGAAGAAGAAAGCACTCATGGTATTGATCCTGTTCAAACTTTTATCTGCACAATGGACGAATTCAAACGAAAATTATCAATTCAAAGAGCTAATAGGAATCAAAGGCTGCTGAGTATATTACAAGTAAATTTTATGTTTAGATTCTTCTGAAACATTCGAGGACATTTCAAATTCTTCGTTGAATTTCCATTGGTCATAAATGCGATAAATAAGCGATTGTATGATACATGGCATTAAATTAACAAAGTTCTCATACAATCGAGTTCCAAATTTCAGCATTAATCAATATAATAGTTTCGGTATGTCGTTATGAATATATCAAACGAATATATATATAAAGGAAATTTGTCAAATTGTTAAAAAGTTCATAACAAAATATGCCTTCAGTCGCAATACTAAATAAGTAAAGATTGAATGTTTTTCTGTTAGTTGATTATCCTTGAAGATAAATTCTTAAGTTTATGTGTTTCGTATTAGTAAAATGAATCTAAAGAAGATAGCTCGTGATAGTGTTCATAATGCATTGAGTTCATCACAATTTTACCTTACGTCTTCCAAGATTCAAACACATAATTGATTGTTTTTCTCTTTGCTAAATATTTGCTTTTTCAAATAGGCTTATATAGACATTGTATTCATCATTCCTTTCTTGTGATAAAATTCTTTTCTTCCAAATTCCTGATCAACTAGAAAGTTTAACATAAATTGGCAATAACTATTTGACATCAATGGTTATTTAATCGACTATGAAGTCGAATGGTATTAAAATGAATAACACACAATCGAATTTCATTGATAGTTCAGTAATTGAAATCGAACCTAATTTAAAAACATACAAAAAAATGAATAATTTATTAGCAAAAATTAGAAAAGGTTTTGATTTAAAACGTTCTGTAGCAACAAAATTTTCACCTAGTTATACTAGTAGAAAAAAATATTTTATGATATATTGTTTAAATCTAAATGAGAAGTTATTATTTACAATAAGCAAAATATTCAAGTAGATATAAATATTATTTGTTCATGACTAATATCCTAATAGACTTTATCAAATACAAACGTTAGTTGACCATCTATACCTTTTTTGCAGAATAGATGCTTTCAACATAACACGATTTTCAGTCAAAAAGTAGATTACAAGGTAATATCTAAATAACGATTCCAACGTTTAGGTTCGAATTATAATAGTGAAAATGTAAAAATTGAAATGAAATTTCTAAGTTCATATTTGGCAAGAGTATCTCGTTGGAAATCCTTTCTAGTGGGACAAAAATGAACAAACATGTCGTATAAAAACTTTCCAATCACACTTGACCAGTTAAGATATATAAAATAGATATCTTATATAGTTTTTCAATCGTGTATATCTAATAATTTTAACAAATACCTTTTTTCCTGTTCAAAATCTTAATATTTTTACTGGGATCTGTAGTTTTTGGTTTTAATGAAATTTTTAAATTCTTGAATGTTGTTGCTGAGGACAAAAGTGACCAATCCTATAACATTCCATAATTGGTATATGGCTGGCCAGAATATCACTACTTGATACGTCACGAGTTGCTCTAGAAAATAGTATAGATGACTTTATCTATTGAACGTTTGTTATCTGTTCTGACAAAGTTCTTTAAAATGAAATATTCTCGTCTGTTACAACCAATGAATAGAATTCAATCATTAAAAATAGAATTATTATTTAATAATTTATTATCAGCAAATATTGGAATTGATTCAATAAATGGAACATTTGCTAGAATTCGTTGTGGTTCATTAGATTCTATTGATAAAGGATATCAATATAGTTAATCGGTTATATTTATAACAGACGAAAGTAATATGTAATGAAGATTTGTTTTATTTTATTTTATGATATAATTTTTGTCTAGTTTCTTCAAAATCAATAGAAGTTTTCTTTCCTGCTGTTGATTATTGATCTGCAAGAATGATATGGCAACCGCTAACGTAATTAAATGAAATTCTAACTGGTGTAACAAACTCGACTCTAGCTGGAAGTTAGTTCATATTTGTAACAAAATTATCAACGATGCTAGGCCTCAAGACCCAAAAGCTAATCACTTATAGTATTATATGAAGGGATAATAGTCTAAGTTAAATGATTATTTATATAAATTTTTGTAAATGACTAACTTAGCTATATTTCATTTTTATCGTTGATTTATTCAAATATATAAAAAAAAATAATTTTCATTTGGAATATGAAATTTTATTCATTTACATGGATCTGAAAAAATAACATTAAAGTTTTTTTTTCATTCTTTATGCAAAAACTTGAGTAATCATTTATTAATAATAGAAAAACAAGGTAGACAGTAAAAACTCTTATTTACTAGGAAAACAAAAGAAAATTTTAAAATCGATCTGTTGCTTCATATCCATCAATAATAATTACATATGATCAAGAACAAACAACATGATAGAAACCCTATGATCGAATTAATACATCTGATGAATGAATAACAATATTACTTATTCAAAAGTAAAACCAACTCCTTAATTTTAAATTGTTTTTCTAAAGAAAATCATTCCTCTTTCAGTTTAGTAGCAAAGAAGTTTTCAATTGTAGGACTTTCATCTACTAATCCCATGTATCGACAAAACATGTTGAGAGAATATTTCTTAATTTTTGAAGTCAAAAGTAGTTTCACAGGAATCGAACAATAAGAGCTCGCTCCTTAGGTATTTTTCGAGTACAATAAGAATAATAATATCGACGAAAACAAAAATTGGTTTTTGACAGAAAATAAGTCATGTGCTACTGATAGTGTTTGTTCAGATTGAATCATTTATGTATATTTTATTTACTACCATCAATATTCAACTGAAAAATTGATTATATATCAGCAAATCAATCATGGGAAATCGAAATTTATTTTAAAGTAGACGTATTGAAGTGATTTTTATTTTCAATTTTTTTTTCTTAATAAAGAATTTTGTTTCAATTGATAATAATACTCGTTTAAAAGTTTCAATTCGATATTAGTAATTTGATTTCAACAGAAATATTCATTCGATGGGATAGAAATCAAATTTTATGACAACTTTTTACTTTTCTGTACAGTTACTTGACTTTGTCTTAACGAGTTTTCATGTAATGACAGTACAGTCGTATTTAACAGACTTGTTGATCTTGTGTTTCTAAGATAACGAATATGTTCATTTGAATAATGCACACTAATCAATTTTCAAAAGTCTTACTAAAAAATAATTCTATGATTTATGATTCAAATTAATTGCTTTTGTTTTTTCGATGATGATGATGATGATGATGAATAGAAATTTCTTCTGATCCAAAAAAAAGAAAGAAAAGAATATGTATTGTCCATGAAGGACTGTATATGAACAAAGGACAAGTGTTCACATCCATGCACATGAAAAACGATGAAATTAATTCGTGTCTCATCATTTCAATTAATCAATTATATTTGAATGTGCACATCATCGTCAAGTATCGTTCGTCAAATTGATATCAACATGATTAGAATGTCTTTGATTGGTAATGTGTATGTTTAAAAACATATATATATGAAACACATTTTCACCATTATTCTCATACGATTCGATCGAACAAATCATGAGCATGCTCAATAAAGATAAAACATGACATTCACATGATTCATTTTTCGCGGTTTACAATTTTTTATATTACTTACAATAATTAGTATTATTTTACATTATGATTTTTCATGAATGACATACAGTTATCAATTTATAATTATTTACAATGCTACGTATGAGTTTATAATGCATTAAAATGTATACATTTATAATGAAATTTATTACATAATGTTATATTAAACCTTTGAATTCTATAGTAGGAAAAAGAAATTTATACATGTTTAATAATTATTATGTAATTTACTGAAATGTAGCAATAAAGAATGTTCAACGATGTGGATGTGGTGGGTGTCGAGTTTGTAGATATGAGTGTGTAGGTGTGCGCACGTGAATCCGTATGTGAGCATGTTGGTTTTTATCTGGACCGTCAGTGTCCAGCAGAAATAATTTGGGACGCAAAGAATTAAAATACATTAATTTCTGATGATATTTATTGATCGATATTATATAATGATGCATTTTTTTAGAACAAAATCTAGTGATGGGTGTTATTAAAATTCATTTCTGTACAATTCAATAAATGCATTATATTACAATGAAATTTATCAATTTCATGATGTATTAAAATGTTTTGATTTACAATGAAACTTATTGTATTATATTGTGTTACAATGTATTATTTTAAAATGAAATTTATAAGTTTATGATGTATTAAAACGTATTAATTTACAATGAAATTTATTATATGTTGTTAAATTCATTACTTGCAATGATATTTATTGAATGATATTATATAAAGATGCATTATTTTAAAATGAAATATGTAAGTTTATGATGCAATATATTGTATTAAATTACAATGAAATTTATTGTATAATGTTATGTTAAAATGCATGAATTTACCATAATATTTATTGAATCATATTATATTAAAATGTAATATTTTAGAATGAAATTTATTGAATAATGTTATTTAAATTCATTGCTTTACAATGCATTAATTTATAATGAAATTCATTCATTCATCCATTCATTCAATGATGTTATATTATGATTCATATTTTTTTACAATGTTTTTAATTTCAATGATAATATATGTTAGGATATATTGATTTATGATAGAAATTTATTCTATGATGTTTTTAGAATTCATCTGTTTTTTTTAATGAATTATATGGAATTATAAAAAACATGAGAATGTTAAAAAAGAATATGATTTATTATTGATTTATATCAATAACAAGATTGAGTATGTTGCTTCAAAAATTATCTTATTTACCTTGAGAAAGTCTTGAACAAATAAATAAATAGTTGAAAGATTAAAAAAAACTTTTTTTTTGTTTTCTTCAAAGAACAATTCTAAATTAAATTTTCATAACAATACTTACATTGAGATAATGTTAGAATGAGATATAGATGATTTATTTCGAATGAAATAATTTTTTTCTTCGTTGTTGTACACATTTAGTGTATAGTGTTATTATATTAAGTCTATGTTATTTATGTTAGAAGATAGATACCAATTTATATCACAGCCTTATCAGGTGGCTTCGTAACCTGATCCAGAGAGAGATTCTGCTTGTCATGGAATGGCGAAAGCAGTGTAGTACTCGGGAAGACCTTTAATGTACGTAGGTTCCTGCCGTCATTATGTACGGTATACCTATGTACATTGCCCTACCAGTCCGGCGTAGTCCGCTCTGTGTGTACCCGTTTCATACGCATAGGGCCTCTCCCTGGTCGCGCGCGCGTACGCGTGAAAATGAGCCTAGAAAAGTAGGGAAGTGAAAAAGAATCAAAACCAATTTATTGAGCAAGTAAACAAAAAAAAATAATGAATTATATTTTCATTCGAATTTTTTCAAATGTTTCTTTATATTCCAAAAGATGAGGATGAGTTGAAGGTAATTTTTCTTGAGCTATTTCAACTGCTTGTTGAATATTTTTCATTGCCATACTATATTTTCGTGTAGCCAAATATAATTTTGCCATATTATGATACACAACAGCTAAATCAGGATGATTTTTTGATAATTTCTTCTCACGTATTTCTAATCCTTTTCCGAAATATGTCAATGCCGTTGAATAATCTTTCATTTTACGATAAGTTTCACCTAAATTTATATATGTCGTTGCACATTCCAGAGGATTACATTGAACATTTTCTTGAATATTTAATGCTTTTCGATGAAATGCAAGTGCCTTTTCATACTTACCCAGTAATCGATGAACATCGCCAATATTACTGTATGTTAGAGCTAGATATGGATGATTTTCAGGTAAGGTTTTCTGGCGTATTGAGAGACACTTTTCGAAATTATCAAGTGCCTTTGAGTAATCTTTCATACTGCGATAAATCTTTCCGAACCAGTTGTATGGAAAAGCCAAATCTGGATGATTCTCATGCAGAACTTGTTTTGTAATTTCAAAGTCCTTTTTAGAATATTCAAGTGCTGTCGAGTAGTCACCCATGTTGAAATACACTGTACCGATGTTATTGTAGGAACGAGCCAAATCGGGATGATTCGGAGGTAGGGCTTTTTTTCTTATTTTATGTGCTTTTTTATAAAATTCAAGTGCTTTCGAGTAGTCACCCATATCGTTATACACTTGACCGATGTTGCCGTAGGAAACACCCAATGAGGGATGATTCGGAGGCAGAGCTTTTTTCGTGATTTCGAGAGCCTTTTCGTAATATTCAAATGCTTTCGAGTAGTCACCCATGTTGTTATACACTCCACCGATGTTGTCGTAGGAACTAGCCAAATCGGGATGATTCGGAGGCAGAGCTTTTCCTTTTATTTTATGTGCTTCTTCGTAAAATTCAAGTGCTTTCGAGTAGTCACCCATGTTGTTATATACTTGACCGATGTTGCTGTAGGAAGTAGCCAATGAGGGGTGATTCGGAGGCAGAGCTTTTTCGTAGATTATATGTGCTTTTTCGTAAAATTCAAGTGCTTTCGAGTAGTCACCCATGTTGTTATATACTTGACCGATGTTGCTGTAGGAAGTAGCCAATGATGGGTGATTTGGAGGCAGAGCTTTTTCGTAGATTATATGTGCTTTTTCGTAAAATTCAAATGCTTTCGAGTAGTCACCCATGCCGTTATACACTTGGCCAATATTGTTGTAGGAAGTAGCCAAATCGGGATGATTCGGAGGCAGAGCTTTTTCGAGGATTTTATGTGATTTTTCGTAAAATTCAAATGCTTTCGAGTAGTCACCCATGTTGTTGTACACTAGAGCAATGTTGTTGTAGGTAGGACCCAATGAAGGATGATCTTCTGGAAGAGTTTTTTGTTCAATTTTGAGAGACATTTCGTAAAATGAAGCTGCTTCTTTGTATTGTCCTTGGTTGTCTCTCACCCGCCCAAGCTCGTAATAGATATATGCTCTATCACTGTCGTCGGATGCCTGTTCTAGTAGTGCCGTGTACAATTCTTTGGCCTTGTCAAATTGACCAATTTTGAGCAGCAATTTGCCCATTCGATACCATCCAGTGCCACCTGAAGATTCTTCTCGTATACGGTCAGTTAATCGACGAAGTTGTTGGTCATCATCCGACGTAAGTTTAAGGTCCACTTGGTAAAGTGGACTTTTGTTGTCAAGCATTCGAACTTCGCCAATTCGAAAGACGGTGTGCATGGAGAAGAGAATTTCCTTTTCACCCTTGTAATAACTCACCTCCTGAATGGAGGCGAAAGGAGTCGATGAGACAGTAGGATCTATTGTCATTTGAAAGAGGATACCAACCATATTGGTTGCTCCTAAGGTACCTTTGGCGAAGCGGAGGGAAACATCTCGTTTTGTACTGGTGGATAAAAAGTTGTTGAAAGATATGAGACCACCTTTGTTTTTTTCGAGTTTATCGAAGTCGCTTGTCAATAATCCTTGGCCCCTATAAACTAAAAAGGACTTCCCATGATGCTGACTGATCTGTTGGTTGTGTAATTCTTCAATTTGTCGATGAACATCACACAGGAAAAATCCCATTCGGATGATAATGTCGCCATCCAATGTTCGTAATGCTCGATTGAGCATTTTGAAGGTATAGCATTGACGTGTATACCACCATAATGCCAATGTTGGATGATAAGTACATTGAAATTCATCGATCAATTTCAGTTCTTTGGTATTGCCTTCGTATTGTTCTTGACAATATGTGGCCAAGTCTTTAACGGCTTTTTGGCCATGTTCCATATCAAGGAGTATTTCCTTGAATATTTGAGTATACATGAAGGAAGGCTCTAGCTGATTGAGATTTTCGCTAGAACCTCCTTCGTTGACACCGATAATACTAATAGTCACCTGGTCTTGATCACATTGTTTTATAGCCATTCCCAGTTTTTCACAGATGTGCTTGATCGATGTATGCACACCTTTAATTTTGGGCCAGTTTTTAGCCCATTCTTGGTGACGTTGCTTGTTGCCACAAAAGATATATATGGCATCCAGTTTTGGCATGCCATGAATTTCTGGTACCAGGTGTTGTCCTAATGCACCTGAGGAGATGACAAATGATGTCTCCTCATTGTTTTCCTGGAGCTTCTGGATACATTGTTCGGCCGAGGTGCATGGGTTGACTTCATTAACAACACTGCGCAATTGCGCGAGTGTATTCTGGCAATCTTCATTTGCCATGTTGATATTACCGTCGACCCAGATGACCAGGTAATTTTCAGCCATTCGTTGTCTTCGGCGTTCACTCATTTTTGATGCCATTTTTTGGCGTTTGATAGACAATTGAGTATTTCCAATGATAGATTGTTGTTTGGACAGAGACTACCTTTTCTATTTATATATTCGATGTCGTCTGTTCTTTTTCTAGATTTTTCTACGACGTTAAATGTAGATGTATTATTTTTTTCGTTGACACTCAAGGACAAACTTCACCCAGTTACAATTGAAAACATGGTTGTCAACAACAAATGAAAGAGAAACAATTTAACAACGTCATTTATTCCATTGTTATTCTTTCCAACTTTCGTTTGTTTTTCGTCTACATAAGAATCACTTAAAAACCAATGTGTTGGATACCATGTCGCATTGATTGTTTACTTTTTCACCGATTCTTTTTAAAGGAAAAAGACTTTTCTCATTCTGTCAAGAACGAAAAAAAACAAAAATGACATTATCTGCTTTATTTTTTTCATAATGCATATGAATGACACGCTAATAATGTAAAGAAAACAACAAGAAAAATAAATTCAATATTGATTAGAGCAATAGTTGAACAACCATTTTTATCCTTGTCACATACAATAAATTTAGCCATATCCTGTGTCTACAATTTGTGGGTAAACAAACTATGATGTTGTCAATTTTGTTTGAAACATTAGGATTGATCTGTTACCTAAATTTCAACAGGTTATTGAATTCTGGACACATCTGGACACATTCTTCAATGAGGTAAATGACATTCTGAGAGTGTGCAAGTGAGACTAGAAGAATGAATGTATCATCATTCACACTCTTGCCAAAATGATTTTTGATGTATCTTATATTCATTTGGAATATGTGTAAAATAAAAAGAAACTTTGCTTTCTTTTGATATTCTAACTGCTGATCTCTCATTAATCTTTATATGATTCATCAAGAAATAATATTCAAATTGTGTTTGTTCACAATTGAGATTCACACAATTTTAGCGTGCATCACAATGACAACGAGAAAATGTCTATTAGGAGAGTCATCTATGTTTGCATACAGCTAACAAATAATGAAAATTATTGCAGTTATTTTTTTAACTAAAATCGACAGTAATATTGAAGATATAAGTAAAAAAAACACTATGATTGTTGTGCATGTCACATGTCTTTGCACAAACATAGAACTTTATTCCGCGAATAGAAACAAAATTGGCTGTAACATTGATTTCATGATTCTGTTAGGTTTCTTCTGAAAATGTAACTATGACAAACAAGAAAGATCAACAAACAAAAGTAGATTAACAAAGAACGAGCCAACAAAACAAAAACATACATTAATGCAGTTTTATTATTGATACCATCATTTGCAAGGATAGAATATGTAAACAAAGGACAGGTGAAGAAAAGTAAGACTGCATTTTTCTTTATTCGCTTCTTTCTTTTAATGTGTTGACATCTCATCGAAAGCTTTTTATGACTGGCTGTCTATGTTCTTCTATCATGTTGACGAGTTTGAATCAATCGAAAGACCTTAAAAATCAATTCGATACTGTTCGTTGCATTATATTTATTGCATGTTTTCTTCATCGTTCTTGATTCACAAGTATCTAATGTAGCGAAAAACGTATAGACTAAGTATGATAAACATCATATTGAAAAGATCGTTAAAATCGAATGAATACTGAAGATTCAGTTCGCTAGAACATTCACTTTTTTTCTATGTGAGAAGAAGTCTTCTTGATTTGGAAAATTGAAGAATAGGATGATGTAGGACAAATTGCTAAGAAACGAGAGAAAGATCTTGCCGAAACGAGAACTGAAGATAGAGGAATTTCAAAAGTCGAGTACTTAGTTTTTTGGTTGATTACTAGATTGACGGCGCTGCGGGTGATCTGCTTACATCTCTAGATGAATATGACAAATAGATTTCATATTTCAATTGGCTTATGCTGCTGCTCGGAAACATCTGTAAAACCGAACCTGAAACAGACTTCATATGCGAATATTCATCATAACCAACAATGATAACATGCATAACGTATTGATGCACGGAATTCAGTATTGTTTTTAAGCAAAGAATTCTACATACTAGAAGATGTCATGAAATATCATTTAGGTATTATCAAGAAGATCTTCATGTAGTATTAGAGCTTTTGAAGTTCTAAAATGATTTCTAGACAAGATTGTCATCGAGAAGATCGGGTATGTCGTAAGATGAATTCATAAGACAGAAAACCATGAAAGATTTGTAAGAGTCACATTTTCTCGATACTAATTAAATATCATTTTTTATTATAACGTCATTGACAAGAACATTTGCCATAATGTGACAGACTACATTTTCACGACTATTGATTAATGAAAAGTTAATAACCCGTAATAGATGTTTATATCTCAAAGATGACTTAGAATGATTATCGTGTCTTTTAGAATATATTAATGGATAGATTGATGAAGATTGGAATCAACTGCCTCAATGCGAGAGCTAGGCTTTGTGGCTACAAAAAAACTTTACAAACTAAACGACAACTACAGAAGGCTCTATTCAATGTTCTGAGTATAGAAAGATCGTTGCACTAATTGCCAACATTTACTTTCATGATCAATACCCTATAGTCATTGCCTTGTGTTCTTTTTCTAAATTATTCTACGATATTAAATGTGAGTGTTGTTGTTTTCTTCGGTGACACTAAACAACAAACTTCACATATTCAGTTTCAATTAAAAATATAATTGTCAATAACGAATGAAAGAGAAAAAATACAACAACGTCATTTATTTTCTGTTTATTCTTTCCAACTTTCGTTTGCTTTTCATCTATACCGTGATGTCAGTGTCATTGCGTTGGATACCTTGTTTCATACATTGTTTAGTTTTCTTTGGTCTTCTGAGAGCCATTTTTTTTCTCTTGCTAGCAAGAACAAAAAAAACAACAACGACATCATCAGTTCGATTTATTTTCTTTATGATTATAATGAACACTATTGCGAATTTTTTTTAATTGAAATTCGAATATAATTGAGTATTGAAATGCGTATTATGAAAATTCAAAAATGAATGAAACAATTCAATAATGACTTTTCGTACAGATAATTTAGTCGTATGGTGTACTAGACAGTTCTAATTCAAATTTGCATTAATATTCAAAATATAATTAGCCTTTGGTTCCTTTGCTAGTTTAATAAGATAGTCATTATTTGAATTAAAATTATAAGTGAGAAAGAATTTATTATTTATTTTTGGCTGCTGATGCCATATGTGAATACGATAGTTTTATTTACATTCGATCTCGTATTCGACAAGTACTGCTATATTCATGTTTTTCAATGTGACCAATGTCGTCGTGAGAGTATATGAGCGAGACTTGTAGAATGAATATAACATCACTCACAATCTTGCTAAAATGATTTTTTGATTTATTTTATATTCTTTCGAAATATGTGTTTAATAAGGAGAAATTTTGTTTTCTTTTGGTATTCTAACTGCTGAACTTTCATTAATCTCTATACCATTTATAAAGAAATAATATTCAAACTGTGTATGTTCACATTTGAGGCTCACAGAATTTTAATATGCGTAGAAATGACAACGAGAAAACTCCTACCCTATGTATACGTTTATCACTAAAATTCTGTCTGTAATAAATCTATTTCGATACAAAACATATTA